AAACCTGTGAAGGATCCCTGTAGCCGTGTCATTGTTATAGTACTGCTGTTAAGAAGGCCACGATACTGTAACAATACGTATATAAGCTATTATCGCTACTATCATTATCATAATTTGCTTTGGTTTTACAACTCTTTTAGTAAATTTATAACAAACTTACATGTTCTATTCAACTTCTTTATATTTCAATTTTTTTTTATTTTTCAATTTCAATTTCTATGTTTTAATTTTTTTTGTATTTTTTGTTATAAATTAAAGCTAATTTATTATAACTCTTTTTATATACTCTCTACAGATCAAGAAATAATTAAAATACTTTACATATAGCACCGTCTAAAGTTATCTAAAGCTTTATTTAAAAAACTTTAGACCAGTCTGAATAATGCTCAGAGGTACTATATAAGAAGTAAAGTACTATACAGGTATCTTATAAGATCTACAGAGTACTTTTTAAAAACTACTAGCATTTATAATTAAATAGTACTCTGATTCTTTAGAAGGAGAATAGTTTACCAAAATATAGCAATATAATATAGTACTATTTAAGTAAATTTTATAAGTGATTTGATTTATTTATTTATTTTTTAACTCAAACTATTTGTTATATCTATTTTGTCATTTAAAGCAGTTTCAATATCTTTTTATAATTTATGAATCTTTAATTATCAAATACAATATCAAAATATTGTTATATATAGCTACTTGATCAAATAATGTTTATGATACTAATAGATTATTATAATTTATTAAATTTATTTGTAGTATGATTATTATTATGTTATTCACCATCAGAGAAGTATAGAATTAAAACCTCTAATATTTTCACTTCATTCAAAAAAGAACTAGGAAGACAATCATCTATTGCTATATGAACTATAGACTTTTTGTGTTGATAAGTAAGAGAAGAGTGTTTAAATTTTTTATGCTGAGAAAGAAAGGCTATAGTAGAAAGTACTGATGACAGATTAAACAAACTAATCATGAATAGAGTTTAGAAGAAATAGAAGGGCAATGTTGATTATAACCTGGAATTTTTAACTTGTCTACATACTGAAGTATGTGAATAGAATTAAGAAAATAACTATCCCAGCCTTTAATAGATGGTGGTAAAAATCTATTATTTTCAGCTAATGAGGCAGCTGCCTCTTCAGCTCTCCATATAGAACAACAATTGACATCATTATATTTTCAAATATCTAAAGAGTACTGACATATTTGACAGTAGTTTTCTATCCAGCCTCAAGATACATCCAAAGTAAAAAGGTCAATTTGTTCATCAATATATTCAACAATTACTTCTTTACCATGAATATAATCTTGTTGTCAAATATCACATAGTTTTTTACCAGTATAATGAAAATTTTGCTTTGCAAGATCTGTATTCTCAATAATGACATTAGAATTAAAATAAGAACCAAAATGATCAATAGGTAGGACAATACCTGTCAACTTTCCTAAAAGAGTAGACATACTATGCTTTACAGGATTGTAAGCAGATTGTCTAAGGACATGAGTTCTGATAATAAAATAATCCAAATTTAATTTTATAAATAATTTACAGTATTTTTTTATATTTTTTAGGTGCTTGGAGTTCTCGTCAGGGCCACTGTCAACAATCAAAACCAAAATTAGTTTGAATTCATTTTCTAACTTTAACTTATTATTTAAAACAGAATTTTCTATTATAAGCATTATGTCAGCCATATGAGTTAAAAAGAAAGTACTGAGCAACCATTGTGGGTAAATAAAAATTGACAATTGATCATTATGTAACGAGTCATTTGAATTTTTTGGATCAATTGTAAGGTAAACAGATAGTATTAGCTTTTGTTTGCTTCCTCAGAGAAAATCATGATCTATTTAAAAAAAAAAAATTAAAACAAAGCTAAATAAGGCTATACAAAATTTAATTAATTAGTTTTTATAACTTGGCTGGATTACAATATAAAAATTTTTTAAAAAAAAGTCTGCTAGGTCTATTTAAAAGTTTTATATTATGAAAACCAGGCAATTAAATTATATAGCCTAAATAATTATATATAATGTTGAACCTTCCAAACTGATATACATGGTGATAGGTTTTATATTGGTATTAAAAACTTATTAGATTTGAAAAACATTATGAATTACATCAGCAAAATATATAAACGTAATCTTACGAAAGTTATTACGCCCCGAAAAATTCCGCAATAATTACGATCAATGCGGAATATTTCGAAATTTTTAATTACAGAATATTACAAAATATATTACAAAATATTATGTAATTTATTATGAAATATTTCAATGAAATTCGAACTAATTCGAATTTATTCGAAATATGCAAACTTTGCTACTTGACTAGATAGTATTAAAAAAACATTTATAAAATAA